AATAATGTGGATCCAAAATGCAGGTTCTGTGACAAATACCAAAACAATAGACCATCTAATCTCATGACAAATGAATATAAAAAATCGTCAATGTGGGGGCAATACTTTACACTGGACAATTGCAAACACTTTGGAAAATGTGTAAGCAAACACATGAACATCGGCCAGCGCCGGTTACAGAAAAGAAGATGTCACCATTCTATGGGATTATACCATCCACACAGACAGAAAATTGAAGCAAATAGGCCGGACATTATTGTCAAAAACCAGAAAGAAAAAAACTTGCCTACTAATTGATATACAATTGTAACATAGCAACCAAGAATTTGAAAAACTATCAAAATACAAAGACCTGGAAATTGAAATAGAAAAAAATGTGGAAATTGAAAACAAAATAATACCAGTGGTAATAGGTGCACATGAATTATAAAAAATGGAACAAAAACAACACATTGAAAGAATCCCTGGAAACCCCAGCTTAAGAGACATACAGAAAATTGTCTTATTAAGTACAGCACACACACTAAGGAGAACTTTGTCTATGTAACGCTAAACTTCATCGGAGATAAAAAAAAAAAAAAAAAAAAAAAAAAAAAATTAAATTAACATGAAATGTGGCCATAACCACACGACCTGCCTTAGGTCTTTACAGACTTGAAGGGTAGTGTGTGTCCATAGCAGAAATAATAATAATAATAATAATAATAATAATAATAATAATAATAATAATAATAGAGATCGCAGACAAAATTGCCTTCTTATTGGTATGGCAGTTACAGACTTTTGAAGATCTACAAAAGGCAATCAAAATACAAGAACCTTGAAATCGAAATCTCAAAAATGTGGCACATGGAAGCCTCAATAATCTCTGCTGTAGTTGGAGCCCTCAGATTGGTTGAAAAATATTCCAATAGACTCCTTGAAAGGATTCCTGGAAGCCCATGGAATACAAAAAATGTTCTCATGAGTACAGCCCACGCCTTACGAAGGGCTTTGTCTATGTAATTTTTTTTTCCAATCTAATGTGCGATTTCTAACCTTATGTCCCTGGGAGGGACACAGAAAGAAATAAATACACATAAGAAATAAAAGGAAATAATAATAATAATAATAATAACATGCTTAACTTCACAATTGTTGATATTAAGCGATTTATGCATCATCCTAAGGTTGATCTTGATCGTCTAAATATGTCCAGATACCTGGAAACTACAGAAGACTGGATGATGAACTGTGTCAAAGAATATGAAAAGAAGTATGAAACTTTATTCATTAATAAAGGAAGCCAACAAATTCAAAATTGAATTTCAAGTAGATGAAACAGCGGCAAATAATCTAAAATGAAAGCAAATGCAATGGAACAAAGGCAGAATCACTGGCAAGACAATACACTTCGTGGTCAATATCGTTTCCATGTTAAGCTGATGTAGACAAACCCAATACATATTAGTGATTACGTAGTGCAGAGTTAAAATCTAACATGGTCGATGATTATTAAATAGAAATTTAAAAAAAAAACAAATACTAAAAAATTGTGTTAAAGCTAAATGCATATCCTGTCATGAATTCCAGAAACCAGTGATCATCTTGTATCAGGTTGTACAGTATTGGCAACCACTGAATATAAAACTCGGCATGACAGGGTGGGCCAACATCTGCATTAGAAAATCTCTAACTTTTACGGAGAGAAACTGCAATAAATTGGTATTTACAGAAAGAGGGCCTCTGAAAATTTTATGGGAATTTATACACAGAACAATCAAATCTAATCACCCAGACATCGTGATCAAAGACCACAAGAACAGAATGGGCTTTCTTATTGACATGGAACCCCCTGTAGATTGGAATGTATCTTCGAAGATCTTACAAAAACTAAAAGCAATACAAAATACAAGGAACATGAAATGGAAATCTAAAAAATGTGACGCATGAGGTCGTCAATAATTCCAGTTGCAGTTGGAGATTGCTTTTTGATTGGAAAATGTTCTGATAGACTCAATGAAGGGATTCCTGGTAGTTCACGAAAAACAAAAAAATTGTACTAACAATTCCAGTTCACACATTACGAAGATATTTATTTAAGTAATATGTATCTGATCTTAGGTTTTTCAGTTTCATATATATATATATATATATATATATATATATATATATATATATATATATATATATATATATATCATCATCAGTGGAAAGTGTCATGAAGCGATTTCTGACCATGGCTCTCTGGTTTGAACCGGGAAGGAAATGTGTATAGAACAGAATTCATTGGAAATAATTATAATAAAGGCAATAGGACTTGTAACAATTTTATGGGACTACACAATTACACACAGACAGAATAATCAATGTTAACTTCACAGAGATTCTTATGATAGATATAATTTTACTATTGGACAACTCTATGAACATGAATGAAAGCGAAAAACTGCCAAAAACACTAGGACCTCGCCAGAGAGCAGTATAAGCTTTATAATATGATGGTTATAATTCTTTTTTTTTTAAATATACTATTAATAAATAACAACAAATAATAATGAAGAATACCATAGTGCTATATTAGCCATGGCTGTCATATGACATTTACAGCTGTCGATATTAACTGAATGAAGATGTTAATATGTATTTTTTGATGAATTTAGATGGGCTGCAGTAAATATGTACCTCAGTTTTGATTGTCAATTTCCTGACCCTTAATATATATGTATATCCCCCTAGAACTAATACGTAGGAGAAGTCAGGGAGTATCATGACCGGACGTCGAAAGCGTTGCTTTATTTTAATTTTGTAGGATGAGACAGCCAAGGCGATTTGGGAGTCACATCTAGACACCTAGGCTACCCAACCTTAAGATATATATATACGTGGGCCCCAACTGCAAGTCTATGCGTTGCTTTTATCAAAATCCGTCACCAAATCTTCTATATTTGGCTGTGATGCATGTGTGTGGTATACTTATTATTATTATCGTTTCAGTGCTGTATTTGTGCTGATAATAGTAAAGGAAAAGACGCCATAAGGCAGCTCCTTGAAGGCTGTAGAACACACCGGCCGTAATATTGTGAATATAAACACAAGTAAAATGCGACAAAAGTACGAATGAATTACCGTGTAATAATAATAATAATAATAATAACCGCCCAGATATTGTTATTACAGACCGCAAATAAAAATGTCCCTCGTTATTCACATGGCAGTCCCTGCAGACTGCAATGTATCTTTGAAGGTCATGAAAAAGCTGTCAAAATACAAGGACCTTGCAATCGCTAAAATGTGGTGCATGAGAACATCCCTGTTGTAGTTAGAGCCCTCCGATTGGTTGGAAAAATTCCAATAGATTCATTGAAGGGATTCCTGGTAACCCATGCGAAAAGAAATACAAAAGAAATGTTCTCACGATTACAACCCACACCTTACCTTATCTATGTAAATATGTGTGCATTTTTTTTTCAAAATCTCTCAGTGGAAAAAGTCGTGATGCTATTTCTGACCTTAGGTCTCTAGTCGGGACCCGGAAAGAAATGAGTACAAAACAGAAATCAAAGAAAATAATAATGAATTTTTTGTTGATGTAGAGGAAATGACAGGAAATTGTTATTTTTCATGACTTGATCCCGATCGTTAACTTACAAAATTGTAATCATAATAATAATAAAAAGAAATCTCTGAATCTAATCAATCGTGTGGATCGGCTGAATATTCCAAGAAAAGGGTTGGAAGATGGTTAATGATTACTGAATAAGTTGTTTCATCGACTCTTCTGGGACTTAGGAATTTATTGATTTTGTGTCTGTAGCAAAGAAAGTAGTATAAAGAGAAGCGATATGACAAGTTAAAAGGAAAGACAGCCTTTTTTTCAGCAAACAGAGACGACGACTGCTTGATGTGGCAAAGATGCTGGCTTTGGATAAAAGTTGGTTTTATAAACAGAGTCACTCATATTTCCAGCACGGGCACCGGGCATCAGAATCAATAGATTCCTGACCAAAATAGACAAATACACAAGGCGACAGCAAATGCAAGATGTATGGAAAAGATGATGAGACAGTTAACCACATACTTACTGAATGTCCCAAGTTGGCAGAGAAAGAGTCTAAGCGACAACATTTTTGGATTGGTAAGGGATTCCATTGGGATGTATGCCGGAAATTTGGCTTCAGTGTAAAAGAGAATGGTAGGAATATTAAGACATATTATAGGATGTTAATCAATTACTAATTTGCGAGGCCTGTGAAGTGGTTTTGGTTCAATTATGATAATTAATTCTCATGAATTGCTTCTGACAGCGGAAAAGTTTTAAAAAGATGAAGCTTCGTGGTCAGTTTTTTTTTTATTCAGAAGACAAATACAAGTGCCATATCTGAAAAGTGTTTTTTGGTAAATGATGATTTTATGAAGAGAAAAACATATTCAATTTTATTTGCAACACAGAAGCAGGCCATCAGAACGAATATAACTAGGATCAGGATAGACAAATCCCAATGGACGGGCAAAGCTGACGGGACAGTTACCCACATAATCGGTGAATATCCCGAGTTAGCACAGAAAGAGTATAAGGGATGATATGATTGGATTGGCGAGAGAACCCATTGGGAAGTACGCCGTAAAATTGGCTTCAACAGGAAAGTGAGATTGTAGGAATATCAGCCTGCGTGAGTGGTGGAAAATGACAGACACAAGATCCACTTTGCAGCATTTTTAAATCTGTCATTCGTACGTGCATTGACTACGACGGTCATATCTGGTCTGGCACTATTACCTGTTGTAACCTAGGAAGTGTTACTGAATGAGAAATTACCAAATCGGAGGTTGGAAATGAAATGGTAATCTTTATAACATCAACAAAATACAATACTCGCCAGCGGTGTGAAGTAGGTAAACCACAGCTAGTGGTGGACTACTTAGCATATTACTCCAACTTAAAATAGTGTCCAACGTATTCATGAGGATTGGGACATGCCCATTAATGTTCATCGGTACGGTATGTAATAGCTAGCTAGCTAGCTAGATAGATAGATAGATGAACAGACTGAAATAGATATGAATAAAAGGAAGTAGATAAATAGATAGGAACAGACTGAAACAGATAAATCTGAACAGATTGAAATAGATAGATAGATAGATAGATATGAACAGACTGAAATAGATAGATACATAGATATGAACAGACTGAAATAGATAGATACATAGATATGAACAGACTGAAATAGATAGATAGATAGATAGATAGATAGATAGATAGATAGATAGATAGATAGATAGATATTAACAGATTGAAATAGATAGATAGATAGATAGATAGATAGATAGATAGACATTAACGGATTGAAATAGATAGATAGATAGATAGATAGATAGATAGATAGATAGATATTAACAGATTGAAATAGATAGATAGATAGATAGATAGATAGATAGATAGATAGATAGATAGATATGAACAGGCGGAAATAGATTGCGTTGTAACCTAGGAAGGGTTGCTGAATAAGGAATGACAAAACGGAAGTTGGAAATGAAATGGTAATCTTTATAGCATCAACAAAATCAATACTCGCCAGTGGCTTGAAGTAGGTAAACCACTGCTAGTGATGGACTACTTAAACAGCATATCACCCCCACTTGCAATAGTGTCCAACGTATTTATGAGCATTGGGACATACCCATTAGTGTTCATAGGTATGGCATACAACACTACTATATATCTCGAATCTCCCGACAAAATCTAACAATTTCCTGTAATCAAATCGGCCTTGGACTGGCATCTCGACATCACTCCATTTCTCGCCATGGTGACGTCGTTTCTCTTTGTCTTTTCGATAAAATTTTTTTATGAGCCCCTCTCTTTGGTACCTCGCTGCATCAATTGAAGCGTACGACTAGATTGGCTATTAGGTCTCATAGTTTTACTGTTTAAATAGCTAAATGTAACCGTATGTTCTATTCTAATAGTTTCTTTTCTCACATTTCAAGCCAATGCAAATATCTTCTGATTACCTCTGTTCCATGCCACCTAAATTCTCCCTAAATTTAAATGCAACATCAATAGCCATCTTGTGTCTGTCTGGATACTATTCTTTTATTGTCCTTTTCTTCTACCCACAGTAACTCCTTGAGATTTACTAATATTATCGCTTTGCTTGGGGGTGGACTGATTATAAATATCTGATGGACAGATAATATCGTTAAATTCTAAAAATTCCTAGCTCATTTGTATAGACAAGGAGAATAGTAAATGCCAAGCAAATAAAATAAAGAATTTAATTCAGAATTCCTTCGAGTTGTAAAGGTGTAAGCGCAGTGATAGTAACAACAATGACAAAGACAATAGCCTCGATACAAATAGTGTAAATAATGATAATTCCTCATCCCAGAAATTCAAATAGGACAACCACATCATTTGAACAGTTCCAACATTAGAAACTAAAAAAGGAGATAACCTGAATCTGGAATTACAGTAACAACTACAAAGGACAAAACTTGTAACCTTAATCAAAAGGTTAAGAAGGAAACTCCCATATTTACAAGAAAGAACAATAATTGTTAATGGATTTGAGGAATCTATTCCCCTCGCCGCCAATCAAAAAAAAACTCTTTTAAGAGAAATAGTTTATTAATTTTTCACCATTATTATTAGCAATAAATATCAAAAAATACTAGCTGATTTACCAGTTAGATGTAAGATGTGAAAATTTGGATCGCAGCTGTGTATAATGTCAATGAAAAGTTTCTATATTGCTGAAAAGTAGACCCTTATATGTTTTACAGTATGGTGAATGCTGTGGTAAGAGCCAGTTACCCTATTTACTCTCATGAATGGACTGATCCATTCATGATAAATAGTCTTGTGTAATTGTCTAAAAAAGAGGAGAGGATAATACACGAAAAAAAGCTTGGCGTCTTCTGTGTCTGACTTCTGTTGGGCTCTCTGCTTTGGCGGGAAGGAGGCCGGGCGAGGCTTTGTCGGGGGTGGTGGATGGGTCCTGGACCCGTCTGGGCGGGTTCAAAGGGTATATTTTTGGCCGAGCCTATGGGCTCGGATAAACCCACGTTAAACTCGGCCTTTTGCTACATACATTCCTCGTGGGGGGGTGTTAAATACCGAAGAGGATAATACTATAGCAGTGACTTGTCTAGCTGAGTATTTAATAATACTATCATGTCTGACTCTTTTGAATTAAGTGTTGTGTCTTGCCAGACCCCATATCACAACAATGATGACGAAATATGCATAATAATAACAAATTATAATATTGTCTGATACTCCGAAATACTTTAGGATCATAGTCTCTGTGATGAAGATATATTTTCGAAGAAACCTGTCAAGCTTATGAGAATAGAATTTATTTGCACGAAAGATAAAGGAAATATGTTCCATTTAAGATAATTAGATTTAGAATATATATTTGGGGAAAACTTACTCAGTGAAATTGCTTATTTAAAGCGGATGAATATTTTCCTTGGTCGTTCATTTATAACAAAAACGAGATTTTAATTTTACACCGAACAGTTAAAACGGTACTTTTACACTGAACTGTAAGGAGGGAGACACAACCTTTGACCACGGTACATGCATATTCACACCCTTACCTGGTGCCAACAATATCGGCTTACTGCCACATGACGTTGCAACATCGAGAGATTAAATATATAGACACTCGTACAACAAAAATAGAACACTGAATACCAACGACCAGAATCGCGACCAGACCAAAGGACTGGCAACTCGGCCATCAAGGCCGAGGGCGCTATGAGGCCGCCAAGTCATGTGTTTGGAATCTTCCAAAACGAAAGCTTATAAAAACATACTTGCGGTCGTCCATGACATTTAAACTGCTATCGTCGCATATCAATCTTTGTTTAAATGTCCATATAACCACTCTGATGATGGCTCATGTGAGCCGAAAGCTTAGATCAAGGACCAGCTTAATTAAATATATCCAGATTATGGACAAATTTTGTTTGGAAACGAAATTTAGAACGGCTCATGATCAAATATAATAGACATTCGTTGTCTGTTGTTATATTTAACAATATATGTTTGAATATATATATATATATATATATATATATATATATATATATATATATATATATATATGTATGTATGTATGTATGTATGTATGTATGTATGTATATATCAGGAAAATGTGATAAATGTGATCATTTAACTTGATAAACTCCGTCGAATGACGAAACGCATTGGATAAACTAATTACAGTTTCCATCCTGTTTTTCAATCATTTTGTCGCTTCTACCGATATACACCCTCACACATACACACACACACACACACACACATAAACAAGCAGACAAACACACACATACACACTCGTACACGCGCACATATACACACATGCGCACATACACACGCAGACACACACACGCAGACACACACAGGCATACACACACGCAGACAGAGAGATACACACACACACACACACACACACACACACATATATATATATATATGTATTATTTTATATGCGCGGTACTTAGTGGAAAGCCTTCAATATCAGTGACAGAGTTAACATAATAAGTTGTATGGATAATATCAGTTTGTGAGCCTGGGTTTCAAGCTTTTGCGATCATCAGACAAACTGGTTAATTTTTTGAAATTGGCTCTATGTATGCTTGTCTGATCATGTTTGGTGGTAGGAGGTGGATGTCTTTGTTTGGGGTAACACCATTTATACAAACAGACAAATACACACAGGTGTACGCATTTTAGTTCAAAACAAATACATCCATATAAGAAATACAAGGCTAGGCGCAGAGACATATCCGGGTATACATGCATACGCAGTTGTAATTCTGTTTTGGTGTCAGAACCTTAGCTTTTTATGTGTGGCGATGTTCGTTTCAGCAAGGAGCATGTAGGGGTGTTCTTGACGGTTTTCCAGGTCAATCACATGGGCCGTCTGAGAAATTACACTTCATCGCGCACAAACATACACACTTGTGTAGACGCACATTGGTCTGGGCCTTTTTACAACCACTTTGGATAAGCTGGTTTCTGTTTGATGTCATGATGGTGATGATGTTTGTATTTTCAAAGCTAACTGTATGTTGTTGACGGTTGTGATTATCCTGATAGTGATAATAGCTGTGATATGAATGTATTAACGGCAAAATTAGCCTTAATAAAAGAATTATAAAAAAAATGACAATTATATAGTTACTGGAAGGGTTCTAGAGTCCTTGTATATCAGATCCCATGGGCCTTCCCTTTGTAAACAGAGGGAATGCTTACTGGGTCTGAATGTTATTGGACTCTAGTTTCTTGAAATTCTTTTTTTTTTCCTTCTATTCCATTCGTTAATTTAATTTACACGCTTTTATAAATTTTCTATTCCCAGAAAAATAAAGTTGATAAGTCCTGGGACAAAACCGGATGTTTTTAATTTTAGCTTTCTTTTATAAAAAATGCCTTATAAATTTCGCCTTTTCCTACATATCATATATATATATATATATATATATATATATATATATATATATATATAGCTAGACATTACCAGCCAAAACGCTATCACTCCTTGCCTAAGCAGCCACGTGAGAAAAAAATATCGTTGCCTGTCATGCTTTTACGTATCTCTGAATTTCATTCATTAATCATTTTATTTCATTTACTTATTTCTTTCTGTTGCTGTCTCTGTCTGTCTGTCTCTCTCCGTCCTTTTCTCTCTCTCTTTCTTTCTCTCTCTCTTTCCAAAGATTATTTACAAGTTTTCGTCAGTACTAACTTTTTTTTTAATAGAATTGAATTTATTTTCCCTCTTTGAAAATTGCTTGAATATTAAATCATTGATCATTTCTCTGTCTCCTGTAAATATAAGTGTTACGGGACCTTACCCATAATAACATAATGGAGTATGCCATACGTAATAAATAATGCGCGTCAAGAGGAAGCAGGAAGTTCAGCCTGAAGTCGGGCGACTGGCGGAGTCTCTTTCGGGGAGGTAAACCGACCCTGAATCCGTTTATACGGGTACAATGGCATATTTTTGTCCGAGCGCACGTGCTCGGAGATCCCACGTTAAATCGGCCTTGTGCCACATGATGCCCTCATGGGTGGGGGTGACTAAATACCATTCAGCCTGAAGTCGGGCGACCGGCTGATCGGTTGAACTCTCTGCCTTCGGGCGGGGAGGTACCCGAACGTGGCTACGCCTAAAGGCGGAGACTCTTTCGAGGAGGTTAACCGACCCTGAACCCGTATAAACTGGTTCAATGGGCATATTTTTGGCCGAGCCCACAGGCTCGGAGAACCCACGTTAAACCGGCCTTGTGCTACATGATGCCCTCGTGAGTCCGAAGTCTGGAGTGAAGTCCGTCAGGAGTCTGTCAGTCAGTCAGAGTGAGCGAGTCAGTCAGTCGAGTCAGAGGCAGTCCGAAACAGAGTCGCGTTCAGACTATTACTACTAAACCTGATTGTTCGTACTAACACTTTTCTATCTCTCTGTATATATTCCTGTTTGTA